TAAGGCTTTACTAAGAGACTGTTTAAAACAGATTAATTATATTGCACTGCACTAGTGTAGTGAGCTTCCAATTTACCATCATTTAGACAAATCAAAAATAGCTGTGATATAAAAATAACAAATTTCAGCTTATGAGAACAAATTGTGCCTTGAATTACAGTTCCTCCACATGTAAATATAAACAACTGACACAGGATTTTGGCAAGTTTAGCCTGATCTGAAATAAAGTATAGAATCTGATATGAAGGAAAATACAGTTTATGGGATTTTTGGCACTAAGAGGCAGAAAGGGAGCAGCATCCTGGGAGTGTGTGAAGCAGAGAGCTGGTTGTTGAGAACAACATATAGAAGATATATCATCGTTCAGGTACTTTTATATTACTCTATTGATATTTATATACTTCGTGGATCTAGAAACAATGGTCCCTTGCTTCACTTCCAGTGAATTATGGTCTAAGAATATTTTAAAATAATACCAGTGAAAGCTGGTGAAGAGAATGCTTTAAAAGCCTTAGGAAGCATATATGTAATTTCCATGGAACTCTGACACACAGAAAGCTAAAAGGGAGAATGGAGTGGAGATGTCCAGGCTGTTCTCAGGGACTTCAGCAATCAGATTAAGTTGTAATCCCAAAATCTAAGAATTTACTTTTCCCTTGTAGGGGAAAAACCCTTTCTGTGTGAGGCACAGGGATGTGGTCGCTCCTTTGCTGAATACTCCAGCCTTCGGAAACATTTGGTTGTCCACTCAGGTAAGAGTCTTCATCTGACATTCTGTGATCTCTCTGAGAAAAGATCTTTATTGTAGGACACTGATTTGATTTTTCTTAAGAAAAACCCTGGTTTTTATGGAACTTCTGGTCATAGTGTTTCATGACTTACCTTTTGTGGTGCCTGTAGTCCATACTCTTTAATCTTTTAGGTTGTTTCTGGTTCTAGATTAAAATTATGTTTTTTAAATTATTTTAAAAATTGTTCCTAAAATGCCATGAAGTTGAATATCTGTTTCATAGCTGCCATTTTCTTATTTAAAAGAGAGACTCTATATATTAATTACAGCCATTTGAATCTGAAATCTCTCATGAGTGGGTTTCTGCCATAGGTAGGGTTTTCCTTTATTTTTTCCTACTAAATACTTAGATGGAAATGTATTTTGCAAGTGTTTCAAAGCTTCTGCCTTCTGTTTTGATTCAGCTATCTTAAATATCATCAGCACATGATGAATATGGTATGTTTGTGGAAGGGGAGATTTTATTGTGGTAATAATTTTTGGGATTGAGTTTTCCATGCTTTTTCTTTCCTCTCTCCTTGGCTTCCATGCCATTGAGCTGACAGCTTTGGACAGCATACAGGTTGTATTGTGAAAATGATAGACTGCTGTGTAAAATGGAAATCCTGTCACGGTGACAAGTCATCATCAAGTCTCTGCTCAGTGATGTAAACCAGATGCTGCAATTCGTTGTGTGATGACAGGAGATAGCTTCCTTGCCTCTGCTTCCTTGCATTTGGTCATTTAATTCTAGGTGTAGGACATCAAATATTTCCATGTCAGTAAGTGATTTGAAATAACTCGTTCCCTCTCATAAATCAGACTTGAAGGCTTTTTGTTACTTCAGACTTGAGTTTTCCAACAGCTGGCAATACTGATACCTAAAACTCTTCTGTTCTAGAAGCTTATTGCTCTCCAGAACACAGGAATATTTCTCATTTGTTTTTTACTGATAATTAGCACCAGTGGTGTTAACTGCCATTTCAAAACAGTACTATTAGTTTCTTGGTTGATGAAGTCTTTACTCCCAATTTGGTAATTCTTGGGATATTTTTTTCCCCTTCTACTCCAAGGAGTGAAGCCCCATCAGTGCCAAATTTGTGGGAAGACATTTTCCCAGAGTGGTAGCAGAAATGTGCATATGAGGAAACACCACTCCCGAATTGGAGCAGCTGGCAGCAGGGAGCGAGAACAGCCAGGTAAGGAAGGGAGCACACTCACCGAGGGGAGAAAGTGCAGGAAAAAAAATAGGGGATGGTCAAAGAGAAGGGAAGATGTTTATCCTGAAAATATGAGACCACAGGCCAGTAAGAAATACAAGTCTGTTCCTCTTGGAGATGAGGATTGATTGCTCACCCTCCACTTTTCTACTACAGAAGACAAAGGTGTATTTCTGTATTGTGGTCAAGGAGCAGATATGTTTATTGTTTTCAAAATTAACATGAATCTAGTTGGGGTTTTTTACATGGATTTTTTTCCCCTTGGTTATGTATTCTTGTAAGCAGCCTGGGTTTTTATGCAAAGTGAATTATTTAAAGAGAAAGCCAATCCTGCATGAGATCCCACCATAGTAAGGTTCAAAAAAATAAACATATTATTTTCCATCCATTAGAGCTCTGTATGCTCAAAGAGTAGGAATGGGTAAAATAGGTGTCCAGGGAAGAAGTCTTTCTGACTTGAAGGGGGGCAGGGATCGTATCTTATGTTGCAGTGCCATGACATCATGAGAATTTTGTTTTACCCTTTTTTTCACAATAGAGTCACTGATGGGTAGCAGTTTGCTGGAAGAATCGACAGTGCATAGTAAGAGTATCATGTCCATGAACTCTCAGCCCAGCCTTGGTGTTGAGTCTCTGCACCTGCCAGACACTGAGTCTATTATTGGAGTAGAGGAGGGTGAGACCAGCTGCTCCTTTTTCCGCCCTCTTATATGTGGTGACTGAAGTGGGATGGATCATTCCTCCTAGAGGCTCACCATACTGCAGTGGATGAGTGAACATTGTTTTAACTGTGGACAGAGTGGGTGGGTAGATGGAGGATGAATCGTAAAACTGGAGTTGGAGAAGATCTGCTGGACCAAGTTACTCTTGCAGAGCTTAAAAGGTGAAGTCTGCTGCTTAGGTGTCATTTAACCCATGTTGTGGAATGCCATTTCAAAAGTGCTCATGCAGTCCATCTCCTAAAGCCTAAAGTGTTTGTTTTGCTGGAGCACCTAGGAGCCCCAGTTAAGGACCAGGACCTCATTGTGCTAGGCACTGTACAAACATTCAGTATCTTGAGCAACAGACCTTCCTTCCATCCTTTACCTTCAGAGACTATATTCTAATACATCTCACTGTCAGAAGTTGACTTACTATCTGAAATAAATGTACTACTTGATATCATTTGGTTACATATGCTGTGTTCTTTTACTGCTTTTCCCAGTCACTTTTTCCTCCAAAATTTTTTTGGTATATCAAGCTCTTTAAATGAGTCTACTATGTGGTGTTCTGAATTTTTTGTTAACTTAAAAACTTTCTTCAGAACTGGCATTACTGAAAAAGCAGAGTTTTGCTAAGGTACTGTGTGTCTATAATAGCTTCTATGCAAAGAGAATGCTTGGAATTTATATTGGTCCCTTGCTGAATGGAAAGGTAGTGCTGCTGCTAGTAAAGATCTTGTAACCTGGAGGTTCCTGCAGAAGCTCCACCTGTCAATTGAGGTCTGATGCAGTTTGGCTATCATCTCACCAGCTGATGGGAGATGCTCCAGTGCAACGTCTTTTCTACAGTATTTTTATAGGCTGGCTGAACAGGCTGTAAATCTAAGTAAAGATAACAAAATATTTTCATAAAATGGAAAAATTCAGAGCCATAGTTGAAATTCTTTACTTCCTTACCATTTTGGAGACATATTAAGAGATGACAAATCTCTTTTAGGATTACAGAAATGTAATCCTCCTTTCAGAATAAAACTTCTTTTAGCAAGAGAGGTGTTAGTGAGTTTTACTTACTTAGTTTGATGCCTTTACTTTCATCACCATTGCAGCAATTTCTGTTTAGGGACCAATTTTAAGATTTGAATTTATCTGTTATTATATTCATGCATGTCACCACAGTATTTCTTAAAGGGATATGGCATATTATCATATTAATTTAAAGTCAAGCTTTTGTTTCTCCTTTCTTAGGATGTCCCTCTACACTTCACATACTTGGAAATTTCTTTTTCCAGCATCATTAACTACTATCATGGAAATTAGCAACCACTTTTACTAAATACCCCTTAAAATGTATGTTTTAAAATTTCAGTCCCACTGTTCCACATATATATCCATACAAGCCTAGGAGGCTTTAAACCACAGACTTAGATCGTGGAAGTAATCTTTCCTTCCTCTTTCAATGTGACAAAGCATGGTGACAATATGGTTACATCACTGCTCTTTTCCAGGGAGTACCCTGAGAAAGAACAGCCTCTGTATATCCTACACAATTAAACCCGTGTAGAAGCCGGTACACTGGTAACAGCCGCCCTTGAACCCTCCAAGCCTGTTGTCAGTGTGGAGACTGAGTCAGGAAGGAGGAATGCTGCAGTCCAGTGCATTCAGCTAGGTATAGGTCTCTGTAACGTAGCAGCATGAAACCCCTGGGCCACAAATTCTTGGATTTAGTACTTTGTTATGATTAAAAATGTCACTATCTCAGTTTTATATTTTATCTAATGTGGTAGCTCTTACAGGTACTGTATTTCTGATTTGATGATGCAGTTGCATTGTTACAACTGCAAGTGTAAGGAGAAAAGGATTGAGATGACAAAAAGAGACAGCTTCTATTTAAAAAGTGAGGAAAGATGATTGAGAAGGAAATTGAACACTGAAGAAACATGATAGCCATTTGAAAATATTTTAATCTCAAAGTGCAAAATTCTCAGGAAACATTCCAGGTGGCAAGGATTTTTACTTCTGAAACGATTATTACTGTCAGGTAAAGGAAGATCACTAATGTGTGAAATATACCATTCAAGATGTGCCAGGCATTTGAGTGCAACATGCTGACAGGTAATACCTAATCTTACTTCAACCAAAATCCATTTTTGATATCACAGTAATAGTAGAATTAGGACAACAGCAATTCAAAGTGATACCCTGTTTAATTACAACATTCTTTATAATTTTGGTTGGGTTTTGGGCCAAATTAATGACTGAAATTGGTAAGATGTTAAAACACTTTCAAATAATGAAATATGGGAGATTTTGTAATATAGGAAGACTATTGCTTCTTACTAGGGACTAGTGACTGAACGAAGAGTTAACTCCAGAGAAAGACTTCCTTCTGAGTCTTCTCCCAAGGTAGGTCAAATCCCGGTATTTGTTTTTGTAGAAATACCTTGTTTGGAAGCATTCTACCACATATATGTCTAAACCAAGGTTTAGCACACTAAAGGGCATTCTCCTCTTCCAATGTGCTTCTGTGGCATGAATGCAAGGAGCTGACACTAGAGGATGCACCTCTTCAATCTTTCATATCTACACTTATCCAAATATAGTGCTTCAACCTTTTTAACTTGTTGCCCATTAAAGAAAGGGAAATGGCTCACACAAGGAACACTTGTGAAGACTAAGGGAGGCTGCAGGCTTTGCTGGCTTGGACAAGACATGCTCAAAACAACAGTTGGTCTTTTTTTCCTTTACTAAATTCTCCCATCTCACTTACCCCAGAGCCATTCTTAGGTGTCAGCTTAAAACATTAAGTTCCTGAGGATTAACCTGGAGAATCCTGGATTTAAAAAATCAAGAGATGATCAATGGATTCTTCTGCTAGCTCTTATGCTGCTGGTTCCTTTCTGCTCTGCTCCTCCTGAGGTACTACTCCTTCCTGTACAGTACAGTCGTCCTTTTCACCCGGAGGCTTGGGCACTCTGCAGAAATAGTGACTGTCTAATACTGGAAATGGTTTGCCCCGTGCTTAGGAAATAGAGTGCAGTCATAGGAATTCAGACAGAGAAGCCACAATGCTTAATAAGAGCAGTGAAGTTGATTTTTCCTACACTAGACAATAGAAACTGGAATGCTTTCATGAACAAGGAAAATACTTTAAGTCAAAGACAAAAGAGCTGTACTGTATTGTTTTTATTACCTGTGAACATCAGATTCTTCTTCCAGCAAGTCAGTGGCACCTTTCCCTTTTCTTCTTACAAATTCTTCGCTCAGGCCAACCTGCTGGAGAGTGTTTCTGTAGCGACGTTCTGCTCCTTGATGAGCATCATGCTATGAAATCAAAACTTAGAACAGTAAACACATAGAACTGGGGCTTCTCATAACAGTCAACTTGTTCTAAAGTACACAGCTGACAATCTTAAAGGGGACAAGAGCACAGCAAAAGCTCCTGTCCAAAATTTTTGTAATCCATACAGTACAGTACCATAACTGAATATTAGGACAATGTCTCGTCTCTCAAAGCCAGATCTCACCTTTTCCTGCTTCTGTTCTTTTTTTCTTCCTTCTCCTATTCTCCTTATACTGCATTCCAGTCTTACCAGACTAGCATACTTGTGTCCGAGTCCTAACTGACACTCAAATTGAGAATACGTGCAAAGAAGAGTTGTGGGAAATCCTGGAAATGTGTTTGCTTGTAATCGGTGAGCTAAAAACAGTGGAGTTGATAAATGGAGAGCACCTGTGAAATAGCTTCATATCAGCTTAACTGAAAACCAAGCATCTTGGATCTTATATCCTCACTGCCCGCAAACGAACCTTGCAAATCAATGTAGACTGAGATGATGGTTTTCCAGAGAGACCAGCCAGTTCTAAAGATTAAGGTGTTCTATATGGAAGGATAGAAATCTGAGTGAATGCAATTGATACCGGTGAATTCTTACCAACCTGGCACACAGTAATGTTACCAATATTTATCAATACGTCTGTTCTCTGCCTCCATGATCAGAACAGAAAGCCTGACCCAGGAGGGTACTTTCCGTTGAGAAATCTTAAATCAGCGTATTGTCAATGTATTTTGTACATTGACATGTACTTTAACCAGCTCTCATCCCTGCAAGGATGTGGAACTGGAAGAGAAAACCCAGGGAAAAACATACAGGGAGTACATTAGAGAGTACAGATTGTATCTACACCTCAGGTGCAATACAGATTTGCAGCTGGTGATGGATGAGATGTGCTGAATGTGGCCCCAGACTGCAGAGTCCGCAGGTGATAATGCAATGTAACCGTCATTAATGTTCTAGTAGCAGTAGAGGTACAAAGAAAAAGTGCTTAACTGGAGAGGGTTTTAAGAAAAAAGTTTCGCATTTCTAGACTGTGGTCTATGGCATTCAGGTGCAGAATAGGTATTCATATAATTTCTGGTGTGATAAAGCCTTGATTTTGACCACACCATATACTGTGATTATAATATATACTAGGAACTGACAAGCTCCTAGAATTAAGTCAGTGTTTTCTTCAAGTGGTGGGAAGGAATTTAAATTTTACCTGGTTGGCTCTTCCATGTATTATTTTGAGTGCAGTCAAGAGACTATGCAACCATTCGCACTTTCTTATCCATGAATTAACTTGAGACTAGACTTCTTAATGCCTGTCTTAAATGAAAGACAATGTATCCTGTTGCCCAGAAACACTCTGGGACTTTGACCAGTTACCTTGGTGACCTGTTCGAAGAGGTATGGTCTGCTCTTGACTCGAAGCTGCATTTCTTCCAGCTCCTTTCTGTATTCTTTTGTTCTCTCTCTCATATTTTGCCTGAAATGGAAAAATTGCCTGTGCAATATAGGTTCCCTCTGACTGTAGCTGATCAGGAATGAGGAATCCTCAGTAACTTCCCCTTTTTAAATTGCTTTGGTAATTCTCTTGATTCTGAATGCTGGGCAAAAAAAAAATCCTATTGCTGGCAAGTTGTGGACCCATTAGTAAAGCTCTTCTATGAGAATATAAGCAAGGAACCAGTGTTCACATTTCTAGAAAACCTTGTTTTAAGTGTGCTTTACCAAGTTACACATTACAGTTGACTGGTTTGTAAAATTAGTTTCTACAAATGTTAATCTAAAGGAAACTGTTCTGTATGGAAGGAATAGTGTGGCATTGTCAAGAAATCCAAATGAAAGGGTACAAAAGCAAAAGAAAGATAGGCTAGGAATGTTCTTAGACCCAATTCCTCCTAAAGAATTATCTGATGATCCCCAGTTGGTGGAGCAAACAGTCATTTCTGTGCAGAATAGGATACTGACCGGTTCTGTTTCAACTTCTCCTTGTGTGTTTCCTCCAGACTTTTATGAGGATCCAATGCTTTTGCTCGGCTGTTCACTGACTTCTGCATAGCTTGACATTTCATTTTCTGTTTCTCCAGCCAATTAATTCCTTCTTTGTCCCCTTCCTTTTTGTTAACTTGGGAGTGTCTATATAGAAAAAAAAGTTACTAATGAGCTCACTGTGGACTGCCAGACTACATGGTAGCTGGGAATTTCACTTTTGCAGTCCTCCAGTGAGAAAAGCAAAATATCAGCCATACAAGTACACAGCTCCCAAATCAACTGGGAGGCAGAGCAAGACTCAGCAAAGAAAGAAGACAGAGAAACATTTAGAAAACGTGTAGTTGATGCGATGAGGGAAAACACTGATGTTTTTTCTTCCATTTTGGTCATTAGTTAGTGTATGGTCTTGTAGACAAACTTTCCTACTTACCTAATAGCAGATTCCCTTCTTCTAGTTGCATCGGTAATATGCACTGGAAGGGTGTTGGAAGAGAGAGAAGAAAGTCTGGTCAGAGAATGACTTCTTCCCATTGAAACCTTGGAAAGCTTCTCAGAATCCTGAAAAAAATGGAACTTCATTCAGTGTATTTGTACACAGTACAGCATCTCCTCTGTCTTTGCCTACCAAAGAGAACAGTTGGAATATGTGGGCAATGCATTCATTCTTCTCTCTTCCCCCAGAAGGGTGGAGGGGCTGAGGGATGAGGGAAAGGAGACATGATTAGGGCTATGAAAGTGTGGCTCGGCCTTATCTATCATATCATTCACCTCCTTGTGTAGAATGTTGTTTTGTGGTAAGTCCTAGGATTCTGCAGTACTCTCAATACAAGGGCAGAGGTCATGGGATGTTAACCATCCATAGTTAAATGCTATAAATTGAAGAAATTGATGTCTTGGTCTGAGAAAGCAGTACCACAGAAACATCTAGGTATCTCACCTTTATCTTTTCATTAGCCTGCCTCTGCCTGGCACGGAGATTGGAGGTTCTTAGCTTAAATGGCTTACTACGAGTTGGCTCTTTGATTTCTTGTCTCCTTACTGCTTCCTTCTGAAATGCCCAGTAAAGTTCTTCAAAATCCGGTATTGTTGGATTAATCCTTGGCTTGAAGCTGAAACTTTTGTCCTGCAAGAAGCCAAGCCTTTCCTGCTTGGTTCTGGTGGCAGTTCGGGACTGAGGCTCCCTCCGACAGTTGCTGGTGTCTATTGGAGCCACTGAGCTCTCAAGCAAATCCTTTGCTCTCATTTGAATGCGGATTTCTCTGTAGAGTTCAGCTTCTAATGAATCAAAAGGAAAACAATGAAAAGAGAATGAATGACACAAAAGGCTGTGAAATTGCCACTGCACAAGCCTAAACTTTCCTTTACGATGGCAGCTCACATATATAGGAGAGACCAGATATCCTGTGCTCTCTCTCCCTACTTTTCAGCCCCTCTCTCCTCTGCCTCCCTGGGAAAAATAATTTAAAGATACCAGAAAAAAACATGGTAGGGTCTCTTTCTTAGGCATTAATTTCTAGATGTGTCTTTCAATTATTGAAGCAAGTTATTGAACAGGTTTTCTCCTCCTATTCTCCGGGGTACTAGACAACTTGCACCCCTTTGTCTTGCAGAAGTGTTAATCAAGGTTCTGCTTTTCATATGGGACTTTATGTCATTATGTTGATGGTGTGATCCATATGGGCTGTTCAAATATACTTGTAATGGATGATGGCTTATCTATATAGTATCCACCAGAAATTGTCTATACTGGGAAAGATTTTGAGTGAGAAACATTTGATGGATAGACCATGTCTTATGACTTCTGTGACAAACTTTCCATAGAAAGAATGTGTTTCAGAGTATAGCATCAAACTGAAGTAATTTCTTGTGCAACACTAAATATTTGTGAAAATGCAGACAAACAGTTGTCTGGGGGTTGGTTTTTTGCTTTTAGAAAAAAAAATCAATACTGCTGTTTCCAAAATAAGACATTTTAAAGTCTATTTATAGTTTTCATTGACTGAGATATGAAATATTCATTTCTCTTCTCACACTTGGGTGCGAGTAATGGTCAGATGCAAGTAATGGTCAGATACAAGATACCGCATGGACCTTAGACACTTATGGCACTACAGCTGTCTTCATGTTTGTGCCACAAATCATCACAGCCCCTTTAGTGTGACCAAACGTAAGGAATCCAGTGCAGGGAAGGGTTCCCAAACTGTCATGATTTGCAGCAAAAGGGAAATCTGTCTGAAGAGCTCAGTGTGCCCATGTTTGCTGGGGAGTGGAACAGAACTGTTGCTGCTGACACTGTTACAAGACCGCTAGACTTAGGACACTCTGCTGTAAGGGTATCTAGACAAAATGGAATAATCAGTGACACACAGGAGACCAGACAACACCAGGAGATGCAATGACACTGGCCTTATGCTTCAAGTAATACCCTATGGGCCATGATCTTACCTCCCAGCACGGAGACAGTGAGGGACGGGTAGGGAGGTACTTTAGAGAAGGAGCCCTGGCATGTTACCTTTGAGTTTATTTCCAAGAAGTGGGTGGTAAGTAGATTTAGGAACTTTTTTACTGTCTTGCTTCTGTTTGGAGCTCTCATTTGGGGTTGCTGCTGACAGGAATTTTTGTCTGATAGCTTCTTTCTTTTTCTCCTCCTTCTCCAGGAAACTGAAGGGCCGCTGTGTTGAAAGTAGCAGCTCCTTTCTTTTCTGCGTTGCTGTTTGCCTGCGAATCTCATTCTGCTCCATTATTTCCTGATAAAGGGGCAGAAACACATGGGCAGGTACAGGCTGTGCCCGGAATTGTTTCTGACATTCGGCTTCATCCTGGCTTTGCCTTTTGTCTCTCTGTTTGTCTAGTTCAAGAAACATGTATGACTTCATCAACTCAGACTTTTTGCGAGCTTCCCGCAGTGTCATTTTGAAAGGCTGAGGGATGGTGATGGAAGGAATCCAGGGAGATGAAGCACTTTTTGGCCTCAAGCGGGATTTAGGAAATAAGTGAGGCTTTTGTTGATCCCAGGTACTGTCCAAGGTGAGGTCGGTCAAAGAACTGGACTGCCTTTTGTTACCAGATGTATGACTAAGGCAAAGACATTATGAAGGGGAAATTACTGAAATTATTAAAAAATAGAGTTAAAAGAAGGGAGACACTGTTGACTAAGAGAAAGACACCATAGGCTGAGCTGCTTGTTGAAAGACAGGCCTAGGGTTTGTCATTCTCAGGCTCCATATTTTGCTTTGCTACCAAAGTTCATGAGCAGAGCTTTGCCTGTTATATGTTTTCCATGTACAAAATGGCAGTTGCTGCTGCTTAGCTTTGTCATGCAATTTATTACACTGCTAGCACTGTACTGCCAGAAGGGCCACAAGTAAACCAACTTTAGGTTCCAACTTTTGCCCACACAATTTGTGCATACAGATGCACACAGCATTCCCAAGACGCTGATGGGAAGGTCAGTACAAGAAATTGCTTTAGTGCAACTCTTAAGAGGTTCAGTTGGAAACTGTGTAACTGAGAAGATGACTATATAACTGATAAAAAGAAAAAAACTCACCTGAGACTATCCTAGGTCTCATTAAAATAGCAAACTTCTCACAGGATTTGAGGGTAATTGTGAAAGTGAGTAAAACCTACAAGATTTCAGGCAAGTAATAAATGCAGGCAAAATGAAGGATCAAGGTGAATCAGAGTGGACTAAGAACAGGAAACGGAAAAAAAAGGGGTGAAACAGAAGGTGCTGATCACCTGTAAACAGGCTCCTTGTTAATATACTCGCCCTGTGATTGCTGAAGTCTCTCCTTCTTTATAAACCATTTTCTTTGTAAGAGCATGCATGTGTGATCTGCTAATGAATGTCAAACTAGACTAACCACAGGGAAAGATGTCTGGGAGCTCGATGTTGGAAAGACCACAGGTCTGAGGGGTGGATGCTGGGCAGAAAGGTGGTTGATCTGCTGGCAGATTTTAAGCATGATTAGCTGATGAGCAGGAAGGGGATTTGTGCTGTTTTATGTGAATGCTGCTTATGTGGGCACGTGTTGACCCCATCCTCCCATCTGTGAATACACTCGTGGACAGTGTTTTGGCACTACACACGTGGATTTTGGGACTTCATGTGTTGCCTTGTCCCTGGCCAGAAGCAGCAGGAATCCTGCATGCTATCTTGCCATCCTTACCAGGCATCATCCTACCTGAGAGCCTCCCTCAGTTTCTCACGCAGAACTTCCACCTCCCGCCTGAAACCCTCCAGCTCCTCATCTTCTTCGAGTACCCCGAGGTCACCCCATAACTCTGCCTGGCACGGTGCTCCCGGTTCTAACGGAGACCGCCGGCCTCCCATCCTGAGAGGCTGCTCCCAGCTCCTCGCCCGACGGTGGGAATCGGAGGAGTCGGCGTCTTACAGCCTGGGGGGGGGGGTGTGTCGTGTCGCCTGGAAGAAATGAAATAAATCGGGAAGTGCTCGTTCTGGGGATGCGACCCCAACCTGCCCCTGCCCTCACCTGCAGCCCGGGCCGCCGCCTCAGCCCTCCGCGACACCCTCCCGGCCTCCGTCAATCAGCGCGGCCAGGGGCGCTTAGGCCCGCCCTCTCGGCCTCAAACAGCCAGTCAGACACAAGACCGGGGGCGCGGGCAGGCGTTGCCATGGTTTCGCGTCGCGACTTCCGCCCGCCGTCAGTTCCGCGGCGATGGCGGCCGTGCTCGGGCAGGCGCTGTCCTCGGTCTGGGCGCGGCTGCGGCCCCGTCCCGGGCCCCGCGCCCCGCTCCGCGCCGCCGCCACCGCCCCCGCACAGCCACTCTACGATGTGGTGGTGTCGGGCGGGGGTATGGTCGGGAGCGCCATGGCCGCCGCCCTGGGTAAGGCTGTGACCTTCTCGCCCGCAGTGTGAGATAACTGTGGTTGCCACTTAGGATCTTAATGTTCAGGATCCTGCTGTGGGATCTTCTTGGTCCTGCGTTCTAAAGTTGACTTAAAGCTGTTTGGTGAGCTGATCTGTGGTGAGCCTTGCCCCATCCGTGTATGTGCATTTCTGCTAATGGAGCCATTGCTTTGAATTCTGCAGACTGCTTGTGGTGTTTCTGTCAAACATGGTCACCCTTAAATAGCTGATGGATCATTTCAGCCGTAGCTGAAAACGTTTTCTGATCATGGAGTGGTTAGGGTTGGAAGGAACCTTAAAGATCATCTAGTTCCAACTCCCCTGACACGGGCAGGGACACCTTCCACTAGATCGGGTTGCTCAGGGTCCCATCCAGTCTGACCTTGAACACTTCCAGGGATGGGGCAGCCACAGATTCTCTGGGCAACCTGTTGCAGTGCCTCACCACTCTCACGTCAAAGAACTTACTCCTATTATCTAATCAACCATTCCTCTTTGTCCTGTCACTACATACCCTTGTAAAAAGTCTCTGTCCATCTTTTCCGCAGGCTCCCTTCAGGTACTGGAAGACGCCAGTTAGGTCATCCCTAAGCTGTCTCTTTTCCAGGCTGAACAAACTCGATTCTCTCAGCCTGTCCTGTTAGGAGAGGTGCTCCATCTCTCTAACCATCATTTTCTGATCCCACATTTCATTCTCTAACCCTGTATTTTAAACACTACAATACCAAGATAAGATAGATTTGTGCTTGGTTTGTATCACTAGAGATCCTGAGATTACTGTTTGCTTCTTTATTTGCAACATGGATTCAGAAGGGTGCAACAGTGAGAGAAGCCTAAAGAAAATAGTGCAAAGAAGAGCCAAAGATCCTGAGCAATGTGTTTTGCAAGTATAAGGTTTACTGATTGTTCTGCTTGTATTATTAAATAAGACCGCGGTGGAACTGAGACAGCGTAAGGATCCCCTCCAGCAGTGATATCTAAGGCTGACACACAAGTTTGGGACCTTTCAAGAGAGGAGGTTATTGTTATGCATAATCTAGAAAATATGTCCAGGATATGCTGTCTTTAGGGCTGCTGTAGTAGCAAACTCTGGATGTTGCAAGAATACCATTTCTGTCCTCAGTACCTTCTGCATCCATAGCGGTCGGATGCAGCCAGCATGGCCAGCTCAGCTGCAGTGATTTATCCTTTACTTGAGGCATCTCTTCATTTTTATTCAGTTCTCTTTAACTGAAAGTTAAAGTCTGAACTGCCTGTGCTATTTCATTGTCAGAATATAAGGACATTAATGTAAGAAAACATTAGTGTAATTGCTACGGATCAAAGAAGTTTTATTTTGATCTCTTGTTCTAAAAGGTGAATTTATGTTTAAGCTCTGGAAGATGTGTTTGGTGCATGCAGTAAACATTGCAGGTTTCACTTGTTACTACTCCAGTAATGAATTTTCATGACAAAATGGCACAAATTTGTACAAAAATGTAAACTTTAAATAAAAGGAAAAATGTGTAATCCTTGCTTTAACTGCAGAAGGGTTGTCCATCTCAGTAATGAAATTATAGTCATAAAGCTTTAAAATACAAGTTTACTTGCCTGGTCAAAACCTGTGTTATAAATGTTTGCATCTACTCTGTCTTATTAAAAAAGTACATAGGTGTTACTGAGAGAGAAATAAGAAATGAGATTTTTGGCAGGAGTGTTGTAACAAAGCATGTATTTGCTTATTTTAGGCCATGATATTCACTTCCATGATAAGAAGATTGCTTTGCTGGAGGCTGGTCCTAGGAAAGAATATGATCACATGCCCGATAGTTACAGTAACAGGGTCAGTTCCATCTCCCCAGGATCAGCAACCCTCCTGAGCAGTAAGTATGATTTTCTTGTTTGCATTTATAACATTTATATTTGAGCTGGTTTTATTTTGTTTAAACAAAACCCCTTTGAGCACATGCTGCCTTCATCCTAAACTGAATAGAATTATTTGCCTTTGTCTTTTAGTATTCTATATGCTGAGCTGTGGTGATTGAATCAGACTTCTCTTGATAACAGGGATCTGTGTTCTGGTATCTTGGTCTGATTTATCATTATATAAATATTTATGACATTAGGCTAGTGAAAGGTTGTAAGGTGCTCTCCACAGCAACTGTAATGTTCTATTCACAAAAGAAGCATGTTCTTAGCGCTTTGTAGTCTGGTAACTAAGTCCTCAATTAATGAGGTGTAATTGTCATTTTAAAGAGAGATTTGAGCCTTGATTCCTTATGGGAAAAGAAATATTCTAAACAATGATGGTGCTGCTTTTCTGTGTCTGTTTTATTACCCAGTGATGGGACAATGAGAGTTGTCTGCTAGGTCAGATGTTCATGGAGAGCTCTTGTTTCTTTCTGCTGGCTTGTGTTAGTAGTAAAACCATGTGATGCTGGAGCTGGGATAGCACTGAGGCAGACCTGGCTCTGCCGAGGCATGGTGCAAGCTGACCCCGAGCATTTATAGTCAGGGAGGGTACAGGAGAGTGTGAAGTGAGCTTCAGTTTTGTTTTGGTCTCAGTGTCACATGTGAGCCTGCGTCTCCGTTTGTGTCCTTTTTCAGGTTTTGGTGCCTGGGATCATGTCTGCAGCCTGAGACTCAAACCATTCCGGCGAATGCAGGTGCCTGACTTAAGGCTGCAAATATACCATGTGTTTGTCTACTCTGAATTCTCCAAAGTACTTACATCAATGTTACAAAGGTTTTTCTTTCTTTGGCAAAGGGGCAGGTCATGCTTATGTTCATTCCTGTTCCTTTTTTTGGGTTGCAGTCTACTCAGAAACACTTGTCTCAGGGTCTTGGTGTTACAGGCTGAAAGGTGGATTCCTAATGGAACCTGTAGATATTGAGGCATGGGTACTAGCGGGAAAATAAAGGTAAAGGCGTGTATTGGTTTTGGCTGGGATAGAGTTAGTTTTCTTTATAGTAGCTTGTATGGGGCTGTGTTTTGGATTTGTGATGAAAACTGTCAATAACACAGGGATGTTTCAGCTTGTGCTGAGCAGTGCTTACACAGTGCCAGTGCTGTCTCTGTTTCTCACACTGCCCCACCAGTGAGCAGGCTGGGAGTGCACAAGAAGGTGGAAGGGGACACAACTGTGACAGCTGACCCCAGCTGAACACAGGGATATTCCATACCATACAGCGTCATGCTCCAGCAGTAAAAGCTGAGGAAAATGAAGGAGGAAGGAAGTTCAGAGTGATGGCACTTGTCTTCCCAAGTAACTGTTATGCATGATGGGGCCCTGCTGTCCTGGGGATGGCTGAACACCTGCCTGCCCATGGCAAGGGGTGAATGAATTCCTCGTTTTGCTTTGCTTGCACATGCAACTTTTGCTTTTCCTATTAAACTGCCTCTACCTGAACCTATGAGTTTTGTTTTTGCACTATTACCCTTCCAGTTGTCTTCCCCATCCCATTTGGGGGAATGAGCAAGCAGCTGCATGGTGCTGAGCTGCCTGCTGGCGTTAACCCGCAGCAAGGTGGTAGGGTAGCTTTATATGTTTCTTATGTAACAGGAAAGTAGGGATAAAAACTTGCAATTACTTTTTGAGCTGATGCCAAGTAATTTAATGACAGGAATTACGTGATGCACTTTAGTAGCTTCATTCATTTAGGAATGAAGGAATGGACAGTAATCCAGGATGTTTCCTCTAGTTCTGTATTTCTCGATTACCGTGTCCTTTTGCTGTTTAGTCTCTGAAAGGGACAGCACTTCTCTGTAACTTCATGTAATGTATTTTTTCTTTGTAGGTGTGGGATGCTTGTTCTGAAGCCATGATAATTTTTGAGAAAGATGACTTAGATGACATGGGTTACATAGTGGAGAATGATGTCATTATGTCTGCTCTCACAAAACAGTTAGATGCAGTAGCAGGTAGTGACAACTTCTTGATTATTTTATTTCCTGCGTAGAGCTTACAGTTACTTGCCTTCTGTTGTGTGCAATACATTGTGAGAGGGAGAAATTAATCTAACAAGTGATTCTTGAGATGTGGGCAGCTTCTTGAACTGGGGGGGAAGGGAGAAATCTGTCTTCCAAAGGCTACACAGCAAGAAAGCAGTTGCATATGTAGTTCTCCAGAGTGTAGTCTCTATTAAATAGACTTAATTAAAAGATCTGTAGCTCCTTGTCCAAAGCAGGCCTTGCAGTGACAAGGGGTTGATCAGATCTGTTCTTTCAGGGTGTCTTGAAAATTGTAGTGTCAGCTTCTATGGTGCTGTTAAAATATGTGTGACGTTTGCTGTTATAGCAATGTTTCCTTTTTTCCTGTCTGTGTCATGCTGTGACCATGACACTTTGTGTTTCCATCAGACCGGGTGGAGGTTTTCTACAGGAGCAGAGCAGTCGGGTATACGTGGCCCCTTCCCTCCCACAGCTGTGACACAAGCCCTTGGGTCCAAATTCAGTTAGCTGATGGACGCAGACTTCAGACCAAACTGCTGGTAACTAAGCTCTTTATTTCTGTTGATCAGGCAGCATCTCTAACCCAAGTCCTTTCCACTGGATTTGGTTCTGATTCCATGTGTGCCGCTCCACTCACATGGAGTGTTTGAGTGAGGTGAGTGGCTAACTCTGTCAGAGATGCTA